TCATAAGGAATTTGATTTTGGCAAGCCTTTGTAGGAAGTCGGTTAATTAAATAATTTGATGTTAGTAAGGCTTCAGCCCAATAGTGAAGAGGGAGTTTAGCTTGATGAAGTAGAGTACGGGTTGTTTCAAGTAGATGGCGATGTTTTCGTTCAGCTGTACCATTTTGCTCCGGAGTATATGGGCAGCTAATTTGATGTGAGATACCATGTTGAGATAGATAGGAGCGAAAAGCTGAGCTAGTGAATTCGCCTCCACCATCGGAGCGAAAATATTGAATGTTTGTTTTAAAATTATTTTGAATTAGTTTATGAAATAGCTGAAATTTAGAGTATGTTTCAGATTTTGTATGCATTAAATATAGCCAAGTAAAGCGAGTGTGATCATCCACAAAGATTACATAGAAGCGAAAACCAGCAGATGAAGAAATAGGGGACGGACCCCAAACATCAGAATGTATTAAGACAAACGGTTTGGATACATGACTATTGGTAGGACTAAAAGACAACTTGTGGCTTTTGGCCACATTACAAGACTCACACATATAATATAAAGATGGATTACATATAGAAGAAAATTTCCTAGATAACTGGAGATGCGTCCGAGAGTTGGGATGTCCAAGTCTGGCATGCCAGAGAGCTGAAGGTGAAGGTGATGTCGTCAAATGAAGTGCAGTGGGAGATGAGGAGGATGAAGGAGTAATGGTATAGAGACCGTTACGATATTTTCCACGGATGAGAGGACGGTTGTCCACCAAGTCCTTGATTAAGAAGCCATGAGAATCAAACGAAATGGAACAATTATTTTCAGCAGTGAGTTTGTGGATTGAAAACAGATTATGAGATAATAAAGGAACATGAAGCAATTGACGTAAATAAAGCTTATGATTCACGTCAGGTAGAGGAAGAAGGCCTTGCCCGGTGTGATGAATTGGAAGAGAGTTGCCATTAGCCGTGGAGACGGTCTTAGAACCAGAGTAAGGTGCCGAATTCTGTAGTTTGGTAATATCAGGAGTAAGATGGGTTGATGCTGCGGAATCAAGAACCCATTCATTTAGAGATGCTGGATTCGAACTGGTCAGTAAAGCCTTCGGTGAAGAACTAGGCGGAGCAGTATAGTTCGCATTGTATCTATGCCAGCACGAAGAGGCAATGTGACCCAGCTTCCCGCATATCTGACACGTCGGTCGATACGTGTCATTCTAGTTTGGAGCAGCATTCGGTCTGAAGGGAGCTCCTCTGCCACGAGCTCCCCTGTATCCCGAGCGACCGCGGGAGAAGCCACCGCGATTAGTATACAAAGCAGTCGGGTCAGTTGGAGTACCTGAGTCTCTTTGTAGTTCAGTTTGCAAGTGAATCTCTTCACTGCACAGCAAATTGTACAGCACATCGAGGCTGAGAGGAAGCTGATTGGTCCGAATGGAGGTCTTGAACGGATTGTATGACGGGGGCAAACCGTTCAGGATGTGAAGAATAATTTCTTTGGAATCCAATAGAGAGCCTGCAGCGGCAATGTTATCCACGAGCGTTTTAACCTTCGCCAGATATTGCATCATGTTCAAATCCTTCATCTGTATGTGATACAACTCATTTTTGAGTTGAATCACTCTGGACCTGTTGGTAGGTTGAAGACGAAGCTCCAACGTGAGCTAGATGTCGCGAGCAGTCGAGAGAGTCAGAATGTAAGGGAGAACAGATGGAGAGATCGTGGATAGTAAAGCAGAAACCAAATTTTGATCGACTAGATTCCACAGTCGAAGCTGGAATGAGTTGTTTTCAACGGAAGAAGGTCTGGAGCTCGTACCAGTAAGATGACTTTCATATCCATTTGCTGAAAACAATTGAAAAATCTATAGCCGCCAGATAAGATAATTATCGCTTGTGAGTTGATTTGGTATGATAAGCTTGAGATTATTCATCAGAAACTTCAAGGAGGGAGGAATGGCCAGCTCGGTCATTGCTGCAGATTGAGTAAAGACAGGCTGGGCTGCTTCTGTAGACGAGGCGGAAGTTTGATCCGTCATGGCTTAGACGGAGAGGATCGTTACCCAGAGATGCTCTTATACCATGAAGCAAAAACCTGCAGGAAAGGTTAGACGAAGAAAAGCAGGGAAAACAGTGAGCTCAACATGTTTCGTTCATTGAATTGTTTAGCATACAGCAAGGTAAATATATAAAGAGAGCTTGGACAAGGTAGTCAGATGGCAGTTGCTGTAGCAGAGAAATTGACAGCCACGTTCGGTGGCAGAGAGATGAACTTTTACACCCATTAGATGTAATGAGTGGATTACGATAAGATGATCCTGCAGAATAGTGCTAACACTTGGCTACGTGCGAAATCCGGCGATTTTCACGTGCTAGGTAAGTTTTTTAATTATTTTTTATTATTTTTGGTGTTTAAATGAATTTCCTTTTTGTATCATACTTAGTTTGTGTGGATGTTTTGAAAGCTTAGGCTTAATTTAGTTGTTTTGTATAAGGTTTGCATATGTTGAAATGGGGGATCTTTGTGAAGCAAAATACAAATAAAGAAATGGCGTAGTATTTCGTATTTGTAATGTACAAGTAGGAAATAAAAATTTGTTGTGATTGGGCATATAGTTCTAGTGAATCTTAGAAATATTTTCATGAATAAGCCATTTTTGGAGAAAGAGAATTTTTTTCTCAATTTATTTAGATAAATTTACTTAAAAAAAGTTTTGTAAAATAGGGTATTATACATAAACTTATTTGGATAAATGCTTAGTTAGTTATGATTGTTTCATTTCTTTGAACTAAGGTTTTTAGTTTATGATCGCTCCGGAAAAATCATTTAAATAAAGATGTGAACCTCGCTCTCATGAATTTATGGTTCTCTTTAATTTTCCCGGAGATAGATTGAGTTTAATTTTAAACCATATTTTCCCTGAGAATAATGTCAGGGTTTATTTAGATCTGAGTTCTACTTCCTTTGAGCACAAGCCCTCATAGTTAATTACCCCTCCTAACGCATTAGGAGAATACTCTTGATTAAGGATGAAATATACTTAGCTTCGTGCAATAAGTGTGAGAATGTGCAACAGAGATTTAAATTTAGTTATAGGGGGATGAAGGTACACCCGATCAAGATCTCATGGTTTCGTCATCCCAGGCATATCGTGGATTCAGTCTACCAACACCAACAACCATTAATTATAGTGTCCAGGGAATCTGATTAGCAGTCATGAGTTGTCTCCTCTCAGAGATCCCGAGTAGAATGAAATGGCGATGTGTGAATTTTAGTTTGATTTAAATTTGTTTGGGTTGAAGCTTATGGCTTCTTTAGAAGTTGCCCGTTAATTTGTTTAGTTTTGGGCTTACGGGTCCAATTAGGAGTTTCCCTGATAGTGGACTTATGGCCTCTTTTAGAGATGGCCAAAAGAATTTTGGTTGGGTAGGTTTTATGGCTTCCTTAGAAGTTGCCTAATGATGGGTCTTACGACCTAGCTTTGTAAGCTAAGTGGCTCGAAGGGTGGGTCTTACAACCTAGCCCTTATAGACTAGAATGCTCGTAGGTTTGGAGTTTTGGATTTAGGGTTCTTCACTTAGAAGTTTCCTAACGTGCGAGTCTTATTGCTTCACTTGGAAGTAGCCCAAATGGCGGGTTTTACAATTTAGTCATATAGGCTAAGATGTCCAAAGGGATTTTAAGTTTTGGATATAGGGTCGTTCGTTTAGAAATTCCCTAAACACATGGGTCTTATTGCTTCGCTTAGAAGTAGCCAAATAGCGAGTCTTACAACTAACCATTAAGGTCATGTATTGCCTCTAGCATGTTGGAGACAAACTCGATGCAGAGACGATGCAGAGTATAAAAGAAAAACTCTCGAGTAGCCTTTCTATTCCACGACCTACCCAATCCAAATTGAAAATTGCTCATCCAGTGTGTGTGGGTGGGGATGTTAGGTTAAATATTGGATAATAATAAAAAATACTTTTAAATTAAATCTAGGTGTTTGTGGTGGTGCCTTAAAATGTCTCTAGGTGTATGCCTCGCATGAAAAAGTCTCTAGCCTCATCAAAACTGACAAGGCTTAAGCCTTGAGGCACCCATCATGCGCCTTGAGGCACACAACTCGATCGCATTTTTAAACCATGTAGAAACCATAAGGAAGAAGACTTATTCAGTTGTTGTAGAGGCCAATGAAGTCAGCAAAGAAGAAAAAATTATGTGACCAATATACAAGGAAAAAAGTAATGATAGCAACATCAATTTTCTATAGGAATTGTATTATTGAAGCATTGGTAGAGCATGAAGACATAGAGGGCAAGAGACCTAGTTTTTGGTTGACAGTAGAAGAAATGGAAGAAATCTCCCATAGTATTCTTGAGCGTATAAGCAAATGCAAATCCAAAAATTTTATGATTTAATGGGTGGTGTTTCTCACAGAAACAACAAGATTTAGGCAAAAATTGCAAGAGAGAGTAGCGAAAGAGTAAAATTATTAATAAAAAAACTGCAAATATAACAATCCAAAAGCAGCACATATATCATTATAATCCTGCCATAATACTAAATTTACAAAGTGAAACAAATGATTTAAGTAAAAGAAATGTAGCAATCAATTTAGGATAGGGGAAATAAGATTAGAAAAGTTACTAGGGAACAAGAAACTGACTACCTCGAAAAGCTCTATGACGCTCTTAAAGGAGGAAGGAGAGCATAACATAACCTTGCTGAAATCTCTAAAGAAAGGTGATAGCAATCATTCAATTCATCAAGCTATAAAAGAGAGATAAAATAGCTGGTTTTAGGAATAGAATGACCAAGGTGATTTCATAACATCATTTATCCTTATCTAAAAGAAAACATTAAATCTAATTTAAACAAAAGAGATAAACATCTAAACGTAAACATGAAGTATCAATCTACTATGATATCTTGTGGGACATTGATAGCTATAATGAACAGCTCGATGGTCTACAGAAGTGATTAGTGAATGAGTGGTATGGTTTCTGGTTACAAGGAGTAAGAAGTTCTAGCGTTTTGCAATGAAAAAAATCCCATTTCATGCATTTTGGGGCAACCAGACTAGCTATATGAGATTTTCATTAGGAATTTACATTAATACAGACAGTAGATAACATTGAAGTACTATCCTCAGAGCAAGAAAGACTAGACGCAAAAAAGAAGTATTCCCATGCTGCTTGAACAACTAGAATTTCGGCCTTCTCAGTTGCCAAGGAGATAGTACCTACCCCTTTCAAATAATTCCTTGCAAGACTAAATTTTCTTGCTTTCAGAAGGCCTCTACAAAATTCAATTAGCATGTACTCTGTATCTAGAAAAGAAAATGCTTGTTCCTGGAAACAAACCATATCTTGCCACATATTAGCCCATTCACTATCTGATCTACCCGGTTGCCTTCGTCCAAATTTTGACAAAATGAGACGAAGAAGCTGTTTCACATTCTTCTCATCTGATTCGGCATTGAGAAAAAAACTGATAGGTTTTGGCACCTAAAAAATAAAGACTTTGCATTATCTGGAATAACTATTGGCCATATAATCCAGGAACAAATAAGTCTATAGTACTTTAAAACAGTCAGATCAAAAGCTTAATCATTTCAATGTACTTGAAAATAATGAAAATCTAGGAAAACGTCAAGCTTAGTAGCGCATCAAAACAAGTAAATTCACACCACTGGCACATCAAAACTTAGTTTAAAAATTTTTTGTCATATTAAAATTGGTATGGTAAATCACAATAGACATTCATTAATAATATGCATAAATAGTACTTCAAGAATACTCAGGAAATGTATTACAGGGTGGAGCAATAGAGCTATGACCAAGCATATGAAAGAGCTTATTTGAGAATGGGAAAGAAACATCACCATCAAAACTAAATAGCCGAGTAGGAACTCGACATAAGGGCAAATTATTGCATCAGGTCACCTGACGGAGAGATCCGTTCAGATCTCTCTCTGTCTACAGTAAAGCGCAAGTTACTGTAGCACACTTGCGCTTTACTGTACACAGAGAGAGATCCGAATGGATCTCTCCGTCAGGTGACCTGATGCAATAATTTGCCCGACATAACAAGTAAATTCACACCACTGGCACATCAAAACTTAGTTTAAAAATTTTTTGTCATATTAAAATTGGTATGGTAAATCACAATAGACATTCATTAATAATATGCATAAATAGTACTTCAAGAATACTCAGAAAATGTATTACAGGGTGGAGCAATAGAGCTATGACCAAGCATATGAAAGAGCTTATTTGGGAATGGGGAATGGATCTCTCCGTCAGGTGACCTGATGCAATAATTTGCCCGACATAAGGGACCATACTTGGATTAAAACATTGAAAGTATAGAAAAGTGGTTCAATTAGGAATTATTAAAATTCATTTATCTATTTATACCGTATGGGAACATCAGCTTGCTTGACGTTAAATATATTGCAGCTTATTTGGGAATGGAAAAGAAACATCACCGTCAAAACTAAATAGCCAAGTAGGAGCTTGACATTAGAGACCATGCTTGGATTAAAACATTAATGTATAGCAAAAGTGGCTCAATTAGGAATTATTATAATTCATTTTTGTCTATTTATAGCGTATGGTAACAACAGCTTGTCTAACGTTAAATATATTTCTTTGGGCTATTAAATGTTATCTGCATTAGAAATCACAAGCTCATACAGTAGGGCTTGTGCTTCCATTAAAGTACCCATATCATGCTTGGACAAAGTTTCCAGCTTCTACCCCTAGGTTGGACCCAAGCTCAAATTAGCTAAAAAAACTTAAACCAAACCTGCCATTTATTTCTATTAAACTACGAGATTGCAATTTGTTCGTAACTGGATTTAGATAAGGAGATTAATTTCATATTCTTTTAGGCAAATATAAATAGAATATCATTATTGGAATATTGATGTCTTATTATTTTTTATTTCCTTTTTAATATGATTATTTTTGTTGTTAGTGAAATTTGTTTTTAGATTAGTGATTTTAAAAAAACTTAAAAAAAATTTTCACAACGTATGTAAAAATAGAAAAGATGCGCAATGAATCGCAAAATGAAAGAGGCACAAAATTAGCCAAAAAAAAATGCATAAAGTGCCACAAAAAAAAAGATGTGCATTGTCACTAAATTGAGATTTATTATTATGTTCTTTCCTCTATCATTCAATCTCTAATCCAAATCTATCTAATTAATAATTATATTCTACATTGAATTTGAAGTTAACTAATATTCATTTCGTCATTTTTATAATACAACAACAACAACATCAAGCCTTTATCCCACTAGGTGGGCTCGGCTACATGAATCCTTTTTCTCCATTGTGTCTTATTAAAGGTCAAATTCTTGTTTAAATCTAATAAAGAAAGGTCATTCCTAATATTTTCTAACCAAGTCTTTTTAGATCTGCCTCTACCTTTCATAACATAAGTCAAATCTAATACCTCTACTCTCCTAACCGGGTCATTGGAAGGTCGCTGTTTTATGTGACCAAACCATCTAAGTTGACTCTCTCTAATCTTATCTTCTACTAGAGCTACTCCAACCTTTTCATATATATGCTCATTTCGTATCTTATCTCTAAGGGTAAAGTCACTCATCCACCTGAGCATCCTCATCTCTGCCACACTTAACTTAGTATTATGCTTCGTCATTTTTACAAAGTGTGAGAGTGTTTGTGAGAGAGTTCTTACAAATTTGAGAGTGAAAGATTCACAAGGTTACTTAAAGGTGAAAATCTTTTTGTGTTCTTTGTAAATCTCTTCATTACTTCTTAGAAGGCGCTATAGGGAAGATCTTTGAAGAAGGTCCAATTCTCTTCTGACATCATGAGGGTGTGCAAGGACGTCGGTTCTCTGCCGACACCAGGAGGGTGTGAAAGGACACCGGTTCTCTGCCAACACTTGAACAAGTATGAAAGGATGATGGTTCTCTATCGACACTTGGAGAATGTGAAAGGATGATGGTACTCTACCGACACTTGGAGGGTGTGAAAGGACGACGGTACTCTACCACATTGGGGATTGATAAAAGAGAGGGTAATTGTAAAGGCTTCTCCGACTTTCTGTGGGGGCAAAAGGAGAGTCACTTTGGAAATAGTGCAACACCTAAAGAGGGAGTCTCCAGGGAATAGATGTAGGTCTTCTTCGACCGAACCACTATGAATTACTCTAATTTTTTTTTTTTTTACATTTCCGCATTTTATTTTCAGTAATTTGTTATTGTGGTTGAAAATTATATTTTAAATAAAATCAAATTATTTTAAAATTATTAAATGGTTTTCTTAAAATTCTAAGAAGTTTTTAAAATTACCAATTCACCCCTCCCCCCCCCCACACACACACACCTATTGGTTAGCCTTGGGACAATTGCATTACGTCTAACAAAGCTATATGAACTTTTTAAATTATTCTTAAAAATATAAATATAAATTAAATTAAA